CATGCATGTGTACTAACGGAAACACATACACATAGACTTCTATATTTATTTCTGTATCTATTTGTCTGTGTACATATATTAAAAACTATGAGTTCAGGGATGCTTGGTTGACTCAGTAGAGCATGCGACTCTTGATCTTGGGGTTGTGAGTTCGAGCCCCTGTTGGGTGTAGAGATTACTTAAAAAAAAAAAAGCACAAATTCATACCGATACTCTACTTCCTGTCCAACACTGCAGAGTTCATTCTGGCCTTTCCCCTGTGCTTACTTGTAAATTTTTGTAAAAATTTTTAATGTTTTTATTTATTTTTGGCAGAGAGAGAGCGCATGTGTGCGTGAGCATGGTGGGGGAGGGGCAGAGAGCGAGAGGGAGACACAGAATCTGAAGCAGGCTGCAGGCTCTGAGCTGTCAGCACAGAGCCTGATGTGGGGCTGAAACCCATGAACCTTGAGATCATGACCTGAGCCAAAGTCGGACACTTACCCAACTGAACCACCCAGTCGTCCCTCCCCTGTCCTTATTTGTAACATCTTTCAGCAACAGTGAGAGACCTGGCTCTCATTATTCACAATATATTTGCTAATCATTTGCTCAATCCTAGAATACACAGGAAGTAGTTTCAGAATTTATAATTCATATCTCTGTGAGAAACAATTATCCTGTTGTTGAAGTATATCCTTTCATGGATTCTTCAGCAAAGACTAATGGGTACAGAATTCCTTAACATCTTGTGTGTAATTGAAGGACAGCTGGGCTGGGTATCAAATCTTAGGTTTGTGCTTTTGTTCATTGAGTTTTTGTTTTGTTTTTTAATTTTTTTTTTTAACGTTTATTTATTTTTTTGGGACAGAGAGAGACAAAGCATGAACGGGGGAGGGGCAGAGAGAGAGGGAGACACAGAATCAGAAACAGGCTCCAGGCTCTGAGCCATCAGCCCAGAGCCCGATGCGGGGCTCGAACTCACGGACCGCGAGATCGTGACCTGGCTGAAGTCGGACGCTTAACCGACTGCGCCACCCAGGCGCCCCTGTTTTGTTTTTTAAAGTTTGGGTTTTTTAAAAAAGAGAAATGGGGAAGGGGCAGAGAAAGAAGGAGAGAGAGAATCTTAAGGGCCCCGATGCAGGGCTTGATCTCACAGATGGTGAGATCATGACCTGAGCTGAAATCAACAGTTGGTTGCTTAACCACCTGAACCCCCCAGGTGCCCAGTTTTGCTGTGTTTTTTAAAATTTTTTTTCAACGTTTATTTATTTTTGGGACAGAGAGAGACAGAGCATGAACGGGGGAGGGGCAGAGAGAGAGGGAGACACAGAATCGGAAACAGGCTCCAGGCTCTGAGCCATCAGCCCAGAGCCTGACGCAGGGCTCGAACTCACGGACCGCAAGATCGTGACCTGGCTGAAGCCGGACGCTTAACCGACTGCGCCACCCAGGAGCCCCTTGCTGTGTTTTTTAAATGACACTCATTGTTGTCTTGTTTTGAATGTTAGTTTTGAGAAGTCTTAAATCAGTAGAATTCTTTTGACTTGGTAAATTGTTTGATCTGGAGGACTTGAAGATTTAATCTTTGAAATTGAATAATTAAAAAATATGTTTCAGAGTCGGCCATTCTGGGTTAATTTTCCTAAGTACCTGCTGAGCCTTTTCAATGTGTAAATTCAGGTGATTTTCTATTTCTGAAAAAAGTTTTTTGAGTATGGTTTAAATATTTAGCTCTGTTTTATTTTGTCTTTCTTCTCCAGGGACTCCAAAAATACACACATTATTCTTTCAGTCTGGACTTCCATTTTAATCCATTTCTCTCTGACCCTGTTTGACTTCTTTCTCAAGTCATTATTATTTTTTATTGTTGTTTTCCTGTCTTTTTTCTACTACGCTTTATCAAATTTTCATTGGAGTCTATTCTCTCTTGAGTACCTTATAATTTATTCTACAGGTCTGAGATAATTTTGCCTTTTCTTCTATTTATTTCCTTCATTTATCCCTGTCCATGTCAGTATTTTAGTTTTTGAATTTTTTTTTTTTTTTTTTTTAATTTTTTTTTTTCAACGTTTATTTATTTTTGGGACAGAGAGAGACAGAGCATGAACGGGCGAGGGGCAGAGAGAGAGGGAGACACAGAATCGGAAACAGGCTCCAGGCTCTGAGCCATCAGCCCAGAGCCCGACGCGGGGCTCGAACTCACGGACCGCAAGATCGTGACCTGGCTGAAGTCGGACGCTTAACCGACTGCGCCACCCAGGCGCCCCTAGTTTTTGAATTTTTGATGTAAGGAGATTTTTTTTTTCATATGGGCAAATGCCCATTTGACTACACAGTATTGAATTCTGTTTGGAGCGCTGACTTACAATTTACTTCTACATCTTGACTCCTTTCTGGGAGTCGTTTTTCCTTTGTTGATTTGTGTGGATTTTCATTTCCTGAATTTTTGCAATTACTCTCTGTGGACTTAACTATGTTCCTTTTGTTCGGGTTTTTGTTACTGGGAACAGTCCATGAGCTATGAGGCTTGATGGCGCCCTCTTCTGTCAACACAGCAAAGGGACTTACTTTAGTATTTTTTGTTCTGCTTTGTTGGTGGCAGGAATAGATTGAGAGACCTCCAATTCATAGTTTTCTTTCGTCTTGAAGGGCC